AGAGAATCTGGACTTTTTAATACTTACCATTTTGCAAGAAACGAAGTCTATTATGAAGTCTTTCACAATTAACAGACACCAGGCCCATTACAACATCACTGTGGCCTAAAAACAAAATACAAACAAAAAAAGTTTCAATTAGAAACAATTTATATTTACTCTTTATTTTACAACTTCCAAAATGTGATTTTCACTTGAAAAAACTCTCAGGGAAGAAGCTCTATAAAATAAGTTTAAATAAACGTTATTCAATTGGACAGCAGCAAAAGCTATGTCTAAAACAATAAAATAAAATTATATACGAACAAAATGTTTCTTTAAGGTGTCAGCAAGATAAAAGCATAACTTTTTATGGTCAACTTTAATCCTCTTCTCATAAATCATGAGCATAGTTTTGTGTACTATAAACGAAATCCTACATTTAATCAAAGGATTTTTTTTTTTTTACTTTCTACATGAGTCACAGAAAAAAAATCTACAAAATAATCAAAGAAAAGGGATCAAAAGTCAAGCCCTATGCTATTTTCACCTATCCATGGAAAAGAACGTTCAAAGTGTACGCTGTACACATCTTACCATTCATGTATTTTGTTGCAGAACACATACAAATATCAGCTCCCAGAGCCAAAGGGCGCTGAAAGAAACAAGTTTTTTACTTAGAGAAACCATTTGAAAATATGCTTCATTACCTGCCTATCTGCAATTGTAAATTTCATTCTTATTATAATCAATATTAACTTTGCAAAAATATGTGCATCTTAAAATTTTCCAGGATCTCTGATATTATTTCTCCTTTGCCTCCCTCCCACCAAAGAAAAATGTAAAGTATTGAATCCAGTCTTTAATCTGAAGGCAAAAGTTTCTTGGAAATAGAAAATAAGCCCAGGTCAACCGGTCTCTTGAACCTGTTTTTTATAGCAGTTGCTGACAGGACTTTAAATTTATTACCTCCAGTAGAGACACTGGTATTTTATGACTCATTAAACATGTAAAATAGTTGACATGAACATTCAGCAATTTTTATTAGAGTAAGTATAAACTCATCTGCTGAGATTTTTATTGATTAAAACCTCATGACGTATGCTGTGATTATTCACGTTTGGGGTTTGTCATGACCTTGATTCTTAATGGATTCAACCAACTGTGGATAAAAAAAAAAATGGAAAAAAAAATGAATGGTTAAAAAAAAGAATGGTTGTGTCTGCATTAAACATGTACAGACTTTTTTCTTGTCATTAGTTCCTAAACAATGTAGAGTTAACAACTACTAATAAAGCGGGTACATTGTATTAGGTATTATAAGAAATCTAGATGGCTGGGAGTTGGGGAATGGCTCACACCTGTAATCCCAGCAATTTAGGGGGCTGAGGCAGAAGGATCGCTTGAGACCAGGATTTTCAGGCTGCAGTGGACCATGATCAAGCCACTGCACTTCAGCCTGAGTGACAGAGCAAGACTTTCTCTTAAAAACAACAACAAAGAAATAAATTTACTGGGGCGGGGGCTCACACCTGTAATCCCAGACTTTGGGAGGCTGAGGTGGGTGGATCACTTGAGGCCATGAGTTCAAGCCCAGCCTGGCCAACATGGTGAAACACTGTCTCTACTAAAAATAAAAAAAAAATTAGCTGAGCATGGTGGTACATGCATGTAATCCCAGCTACTCAGGAGGCTGAGGCAGGACCAGGAGGCGGAGGTTGCAGTGAGCTGAGATGACACCACTGCACTTCAGCCTGCTCTGCGACAGAGCAAGATTCTGTCTCAAATAAATAAATAAATAAATAAATAAATAAATAAATAAATAAATTTGTCTGAAATTGGGAGAATTAAGAAAAACAAAAAAGAGAAGGAATTTTTTAAAGTGTTTTCTTTCACCTAATTTTCCTGTAAATCAATCCTTTAAGTCATGGAGTATAATGTGATGTTCAATACATGTGTAATTGTGTAATGATCAAAAGCAGGGTAATTAGCATGTCCATCATCTCAAATATTTATCATTTCTTTGTAGTCGAAACATTTAAAATTCTCTTTCCTATTTTGATATATACAGTATCTTATTGTTAACTCTGGTCATCCTTTTGTACAGTAGAACACCAACACTTATTCCTCCTTCTAATTGTAACTTTGTACCCATTGATCATCCTCTGTCCTGCCCACCTCCACCCTCCCCTCCCTAGACTCTGGTCACCACTGTTCTATTCACTACTTTTATGAGATCAACATTTTTTACATTCCACGCATGAATGAGATCATGCCATATATGTCTGTCCATGCCTGGCTTATTTCACTTAACATAATGTCCTCTAGGTTAATCCTGTAGTCTTAAAATGTATTTGTTTACAATGAGAGTGAAAGGTGTAGACTTTCCACTTAACAATACATTGTCAGGCCGGGCGTGGTGGTTCATGTCTGTAATCCCAGCACTTTGGGAGGCCTAGGTGGGTGGATCACTTGAGGTCAGGAGTTCGAGACCAGCCTGGCCAACATGGTGAAACCCTGACCCTGTCTCTACTAAAAATTCAAAAATTAGCCAGGGATGGTGGTGGACACCTGTAATCCCAGCTACTTGGGAGGCTGAGACAGGAGAATTGCTTGAACCGGGGAGGCAGAGGTTGCAGTGAGCTGAGATCGCACCACTGCACTCCAGCCTGGGTGACACAGCAAGACTCCATTTCAAAACAAACAAACAAACAAACAAAAAAACAAAAATACATTATCAACATCTTTCCCTTTACATTTTCCTAAACATAGAACCATATGTGTTTATTCCATCCTCACTAGAGCTGTTTAGTCTTTGGAAGATATTAGTACAGGTGGCTATGGGGACTTTTCACTTAGGGTATTTCAAAAATAGGATGCTTTAGGTAAAGTGTTGCCCAAAGCACTCCCTGCATATGTGTTTGCACATCTCTAAAGGGATGGAGTCAAAGTAGATGAGGCCTAAGGTCTTTTCTAGTGCTAACATTTGTAAACTCTACAGCCAAAAGAGAAGGAAAAATAAAAACCAAATCACTAACACCTGCTGATCTCATTATCTTCTGAGAATCATGCTACATACTTTATATAACCCAGGGAAGCACTGTACAAAATACTTTACCTAACTCAATAAAATCAGTACCTTTATGGCTGTCATCATACAGGTGAGGAAAGGGTACTAAGAAAAATGAGATAGATCCCTCAGATTAAAAAGCTGGTAGAGCCAGGACTCACACCCAGACTGCCTGACTCCAGAGGTGCTAATCTGAAACTTCATGCTGGTAGGTCTATTTTGCCTTTCGTGAGACTTACAGAAGATCCAGAGGACAAAAGACTGGGAAGAAAGAGAATATATTCCGTTTTCATGAAGGTAAGACAATGAGAGGATTTTTTTCAGGAAGATTTGCTTTATGGAAACAACACTTGTAGCTACTTACGGATGATGTGATTCTGAGTAATTCAACTGGAATAAATCCAAATTGAAATGAAGCAAATTCCAATCATTGGCATGAGGAATGTGATGTGGGCTTCAAAAAGGCAGAAAAACTAGACCTACGTTAGTGACAGTAATAGGAGAAGGAGGGCCAGGTTTGATGAGTAACCTGGGCAGGCCCAGGCTAGAAAACGTATGCAATTTTTGGGGAATATACAGGACTCACTGTGACTCAGCTAAAGCTATACTATGCTGTATTAACTGGCCTAATGTAAGCGGCATATGGGCTAAGGAGTTGTGATAAGGAATATTACACTGAAAATCACTTGGGACAAATAGACGATGCCAAATAGACAATGCCAGATTTTTCACTTGGAAACAGATTGCTTTACCTGATAAAATCAGTCATCAAGGATACATTATGAGCCAAAGGCAGATGGCCCATGAAGCTGTCTGAATGCAATGTAGGCAGGAAATGTGCTTCAGGAAAGGAAAATAAACTATGACAATGCCTTCAAATAAAATGGAGGAAGGTGAAGAGCAGGTTTATAGAAACTGCCCAGGGAGTCGGCCAGTCACATGGAAGCAGCAACCTGGATCAACTTCAGGGACCCAGAACAGAAGAGGGGGGAAATGTAAACAATAAAACCTGTAAACATCTGTGCAATTGAAGAGCCAGAGAAAATGAGCTGGGTTTCAGGAACTCTGCAGAATAAAGATGAACTACAGGAAGTGTACTAAGTATGACAAGGTACAGGCAGGAAGAAAAGAGCAGGAAGAAGGTAACTCCTAACAAAGAAAGGAAAGTGTTGGGTTACTCAGAGGAAAGAGAGGGAGAACCTGTGGGGAAAAGGCAGGAAACAAGTTAATTATAAAGAGATCCCAAAGTGATCTACAAAAGAAAGCAAAACAGAAAAGAGGATGAAACTAGACACAAGACAGAGAAAAAAGGAAAGGATAGAGGATGTATGGGAGGGGTGGTCTGGGGAGGAAACAAATGCAGAGGGCTAGGTAGGGAAAGAAATCATTAAAGAGAGTTGCTACGGTTTGAACACTGTGTACTCCAAAATTCATAGGTTGAAATCTAATCACTAGTGTGATTAGGAGGTGGGCCTTTGGGAGGTGATTAGGGTGATCTGTGCCTGATATGATTTGGATCTGTGTCCCCACCAAATCTCATGTTGAATTGTAATCCCCAAATGTTGGAGTGCAGCCTGGAGGGATATATGAGGGTGGATATATCATGAATGGTTTAGCACCATCTCCTCTTGGGACTGTCCTCACAATTGTGAGTTCTTGTGAGATTTGGTTGTTTAAAAGTGTGTAGCACCTTCCCCCTCGTTCTCTCTCTTGCTCCTACTCTGGTCATGTGACGTGCCTGCTCCCCCTTTGCCTTCCACCATTACTGTAAGTTTTCTGAGGCCTCCCCAGAAGCCAAGCAGATGCCAGCATCATGCTTTCTGTACAGTCTGCAGAACCGTGAGCCAATTAAGCTTCTTTTCTTTATAAATTACCCAGTCTCAGGTTATTTCTTTATAGCAGTGTGAGAAGGGACTAATACAATGCCCTGATAAAAGAGGCCCCAGAGAACTGCCATGTCTCTTCTACCATGTGAGGACATAGTGAGAAGGCTCTGTCTATGGACCAGAAAGCGGGCCTTCACCAGTCACTGAATCTGCTGGCACTTTGATTGAGGACTTCCCAGCCTTCAGAACTGTGAGAAATAAATTGCCATTTATAAGCCACCCAGTTTATGGTAATTTGTTATGGCAGCCCAAAGAGACTAACACAAGAGCACTATAAATACTTACAGCTATAATGTAAAATAAATAAAGTCAAAGTTCAAAATAATAAGAAGTTAAAGAGATCTAGGCATAGTATATGGAGTGCTGAAGGAATAAAAACTAGAAGAGAAATAATATGTATAACATACACTGAAATCATTGAGCATCACTTTTCTTTTATAATATATATAAAAATATTGAAGATGACTGAAAAATATGACTGATTTGTAACCAATGCATAAACGTTCAAGTCCTTACTATGTATAAGGAATTAGCAGATACAATCACATAATAAGGCCATTTCTTCAGAGTTTACACATCTTAAGAGAACTGGTAAGCTTTAATAAATAAAAAACACAAAGTACCATAGAGGATATTAACATATGTTTGAAAAGATATTAACTCATGGTAGAAGAGGTCCAAATTTAATTCTCTGTCCAATAAATAATTAATGATGATTAGATTTCATGAATTTGATCATGATTTTAATTTAAGCAAGTCCTTTCTTTCCTAATTACGGATATATGTGATCTACTAATTGTGCCAAAAACAATTATTTTCGTTTACCTGGAAATACGGCGACATAAAGGTGTTATCCACGACCAAAATAATGTCTCCACGCTTATGGACAATATGTGCGCAGGCTTCAATGTCAATCATCTTCAGGATGGGGTTCGTGGGGGTTTCAATCCAAACAAGCTAAAATAATTCAATAGCTTGTAAAAATATACTTTACAAACATACATCTCATATATTGTAACAATCTGGGAAGCTACGTTATATATAATGGAAACACGTGGATGATGATGTTGGGAGGTTCAAATCTGAATCCTAGCCTTACCTACAAATTTCTGAGGCCATAGGTATGTAATGTATGCTATTGATCTGTATAATTGGGTTGGTAATACCTATCTTACAGAATTTTTGTAAAGATCAAGTGAGATAATGTACATGTAAACAGAAAAGTACTGAAGTTAATTATTGTATTTTTCTCAAAAAAGAGAGTGTATTCCAAAGACATAGCTCGGTGTCTGGAAATTTTGTTCTCAAAGATAAATAACATAGATTGTGTAAGAATACATCCTAGAATTTTAATGAAAGAGAATTATCCCTATGATGCCAAAAATATATTTACTATGAACTTAATGCCAGAAACCCTGGAAACTACAGAATAAGCACCTAAGACTTGAAGAGCATGGGCTTTAGACTAAAGAAGAAAAGTGACACCCACAACAGAAAAACTGGTTACTGCCTACTTAAAAAGCAACAATGACCTTTTTATCTCAAAACCTACCACAATTCAGACACATAGTAGATGCTTGATAGTTATCAAAAAGACCGAAGAAAATAATTCTATTTGTTGAACAAAATGCCATTGTATTGAATTCCTTTTTTTTTTTTTTTTTTTAAGAGGCAGGGTCTCACATTGTTGCCCAGGCTAGAGTGCAGTGGCATGATCACAGCTAACTGCAGCTTCAACCTCTCAAGCTCAAGTGATCCTCCTACCTCAGCCTCCCCAGTAGTTGGAACTACAAGCATGTGGCCATGTCCGGCCAATTTCTTTTTTTTTTTTTTTTCTATTATTTAAATAGGCAAGGGATCTGGTTTAATATACTTCTGACTTTAGAGTTTTACTCTGGAAAAGATAAGATGGCTAAAATAATACATATTCTACAAAAAATTTGAATTATTTAAAAAATCTATAAAAATTATTCCTGATAAGAATTTATTATTCCTACTAATAATAAAAAATAAATAAATAAAAAGTAGGTTTTACATGGACTTAGACATTCTACTTCAAGTGAAAAACCTGATATTTCAGGAAGGAAAATGTATTAATCCAAGTTCATAGAGTCACTATATAAAGTTCTGTTGACAAGACTTACTATATTCACAATTTGCTTTCCTCCCTTAGAAAGATTCAGACCAGGGCCGGGCGTGGTGGCTCCTGCCTGTAATCGCAGCACTTTGGGAGGCTGAGGCAGGTGGATCACAAGGTCAGGAGTTCGAGACCAGCCTGGCCAACATGGCGAAACCCCCGTCTCTACTAAAAATACAAAAATTAGCTGAGCATGGTGGTGGGTGCCTATAATACCAGCTACTTGGTAGGCTGAGGCAGGAGAATTGTTTGAACCCAGGAGGCGGAGTTTGCTTGCAGTGAGCCGGGATCGCGCCGTTGCACTCCAGCCTGGGTGACAGGGCGAGACTCCATCTCAAAAAAAAAAAAAAGAAAGACTCAGACCAGCTATTTTAATGTGTCTTTTCTCCCAAGCAAGATAAAAAACAAGTTCCTCTGAAAACAAACCTTAATTACCAAAAGCTCAACTATGTTAATGTGCAAAGTAATTATTTGTACATGAAAAGACATTCATTTCTTTAGCATTCATTGCAACATAATCTTTGGTACAATTCTAACCTTTAAATCATTAGCAAAAAGTTGTAAACAGCTGACTTATAAAAGACACTGGTCCTTCTTTTATCCACACAGAATTTAAATGAGTTCGCAAGAAAGAATATCACATATGCCATTCACTCAGACACAAAACACCTTCCGGTGGCATACAAACTTCCCCGGATGGAAGCTAAAGATTGTTTGTGGCCCATTCTCTAAATCTACTAGTATCTGGGCAGCATCCCTTACAGCCCAGCAAAGCCACTGTGCTTAGGGTTCGGGGGTTTGGCAGGCTTCTTTTTCTATAATCCAATCTCTGTGATGACTTCTGTTACCAATACTGTTTTGGCTATGCAGTTAAGAATTAGGTGCTCCTGCATAGCAATTATTTTTAACAATTACCATGTATCCAGGAACTATACTAAGCATTTCATATGCATTATCTCATTTGATTCTCACACTCTCCTTTCTATAAAACTAGTATAATTATCTCCATTTTGCAAATGAAGAAACTGAGACTTTGGTTAAATAATTTGCCCAAGATAATACACCAACTAAGATACAGAATTAAAATTTGAACTCCACTCCAGAAACCATGTACCATCATCATGCTATAATACCCTGGAGATGACAGTCTATCTTAATTTTGTTGATGTTTCCAATGGGATATAATAAAATTTGTTATTCACATTAAATTATATCGTCTAGTAAACAGAAATGATGAAAACAAAACATCAAAGGAAAAACAGGCAAAACTGAAAACGAGCTGAGTTACCTTGGTTTCTGGTGTAATCGCTGCCTCTAGTAATTTGATTTTGGAACAATCAACAAAAGAAATCTTTAATCCAAATTCAGATGCCACCTGCCTGAAGTACCTGTTTGTACCTGAGACAGAAGAGAATCAGAAAAAATGGAAAGAACATTGCATTAAGAAACATTCATTCCTTCTGCGTATAAACACAAAATATATGGAACTCTCAGTCACCAAGAAAAATGCAACTAAAAGCACTTCTAGTTTGGTCAAATAGTTTGTCTATCTGAAATAGTAAAGAATAATAAGATTTGTTCTTTAAAGGCTCAAGAGTCAAATAAAACACACTTGAGATCCAAAAGTAGCCTGAAGCAAATAATGTTTCTCAAAACATCCAGTCTCCACTAAGTGACATGCTTCCTGAAACATCCTATCTTTTTAAACAATTTCTACCTAGTTCTCAACTGTAAACTAAATGAACCAATGTCAATGAAATGTTTGAAATAAATTTCAAAATACTTTGTAATAGAAAAGAATCGGTTACTATTCTTTGTACTTTTCCATCTTTTTGTTATGTAGTTCTGAACGTTTTAATCGATAAAATGAGACAATATAAATCAAACTACCAGATTTTTACAGTGGAAGAAGATAAATCATTTGACTTAAAATAATTTCTTTTATAAATACACCTGGATTTGATTTTTACACATAAAAACTTAAAGAAAAAATTGCTATTGATGCTCAATAACAACAACAACAACAAAAGAATATTCTGTCATTAACGAGAAACTAGACTTGTGATGGTATGTAGACTGACCCTAGGTAATATAAAATTGGAAAATAACGTAAAAAGTTCTTTAAAATCAACAATTTTCAGGATTTTACACCTATGTTTGCCATGAGACTTTCATAATGCATTATAAAAGTATCTAAAGGTTTGAGATTTCTATAATTTCAATTCAACAAGTTAATATAAGAAACTAAGATAAAATACAAAACATTGTGCAAATTTCTGAGGGATAAAATGATTACTAAGAGTGAGTCCCTTCCTTTAAAGCAGGAGTGCCAACCCACAGGCCACAGACATGTACAGGTTTGTGGCTTGTTAGGAATCCAGCTGCACAGCAGGAGGTGAGCAGCGGATGAGCATTATAACTTCCTGAGCTCAGTCTCCTGTTAGATCAGCGGCAGCATCAGATTCTCACAGGAGGAAACCTACTGAGAACTGCTCATGCGAAGGATTTAGGTTGTGTACTCCTTACAAGAATCTAACTTTCGAGGGATCTAGATTGCATGCTCCTTATGAGAATCTAAATAGCACCTGATGATCTGAGGTGGAACAGTTTCATCCTGAAATCATTCTCCCGTCAATGGAAAAACTGTATTCTACAAAACCGGTCCCTGAGGCCGGGCACGGGTGACTCACACCTGTAATCCCAGCACTTTGGGAGGCCGAGGCGGGTGGATCACCTAAGGTCGGGAGTTCGAGACCAGCCTGACCAACATGGAGAAATCCTGGCTCTACTAAAAATACAAAGTTAACCAGGCATGGTAGCACATGCCTGTAATCCCAGCTACTCAGGAGGCTGAGGCAAGAGAATCTCTTGAACCCAGGAGGCAGAGGTTGCAGTGAGCCAAGATTGTGCCACTGTACTCTAGCCTGGCAACATGGCAAGACTCCACCTCAAAAAAAATCCGGTCCCTGGTGCCAAAAAGGTTGGGGACTGCTGTTTTAAAGGACTTAGTGATTTAACTTTTTGTTCCGATAGGAAATACATAAAATGATAATATTCTAGAAATCACATTTTAATTATTTGGAAGCATCTGGAATATATGTATATGTGTATTCACAAAATTCCTTGCTTTTGTTTTAAACACAAAAATCAGTGGGCTTAAAGGCAAGGGCAAGCCTGTCTTCTCCACATTCACCACTTTAAATAGTTAACATTTAATCTCTTTGGAATGTAAGTTCTTAAATATAGAGCCATAGATGGGCTTCAGGGGTTCAATCGTGAGATCCCCTAAAATTAAAATGCTAATCACTGAGTGTAGTCTTAAGAACGTTTTTTGGGAAAAGAGGCCCATATCTCTCAACAAATTTTCGAAAGTTTCCCTGGTACCAAACAAAAAATAAAAAGCAAAAGGGGATATGTGGGGTTGAGCTCTTAAGAGTAACCTGAGTTGTAGTTCACCTTTATTACAGGTAAAAATTAAGTTACAGGAGAACACTATCTTTCTAAACCTTATCTTCTCTAGAGCAGAACATGTCTGCAAGTTGATCAAGTGCTACGTATTCATTCTAGTGCCTTAAATACTATTCTTATTAAATAATCTCTGGCCAGGTGAGGTGGCTCATGCCTGTAATTCCAAAACTTTGGGAGGCTGGAGAGGGAGGATCACTTGAGCTCAGGAGTTCCAGACCAGCCTGACCAACATGATGAAACCCCGTCTCTACAAAAAATACAAAAATTAGACAGGTGTGATGGCACATGCCTGTGGTCCCAGCTGTTCAGGAGACTGGGGCACGAGAACCGTTTGAACCCAGGAGGTGCAGATTGCAGTGAGCCGAGATTGCACCACTCCACTCCAGCCTGGGTGACAGAGCAAGATCCTATCTTAAAATAAACAAAAAAATAAATAAATAATCTCTCTTATAAGCAGTTCCAGAACACAGACCCTAAGTGTTTATGCTCCTCTTTTGCCAAGTCTGAGAGAGCATAGAGGTGCCCGTCACACCTGTAAAATATAATAAATAACCAAAAATACTGGCAACATTGTTAATATTAATTCAGGGCTCACTTTCTTATCTGTAAAATACACGTTTACACAACATAAACGAGAGGGGTCACCTACCTCCATACACATCATCCGTACAAATAATTTGGTCTCCTGCTTTTAAAAGGTGGGTAATAGTTACAGTGGCTGCTAAACCTGAAGCAAAGGCCAAACCTAAAATAAAAATCAAGTTAGAGTAAGCTGAAAAGTCAGGCCTATAGGTTAAAACACACCTCCAAGTATTTATCTGACTTACTACAATGCAGATAGGGCAGCCATCACTGCTGAGTTGCTAGAGGCCCCTGATTAATACCATTACAAAATCTCCTTTTCTATTTCAAGAATAAGGTATCTTTAAAATAAAAAATACATAATGTGGACAAATACTTTTGTGTTAAGTCAATTTTGCCTTGGTAATAACATTTCTCTGAAACACTTCAAGAAAATAATTCTTTACAAATATCTGGGATAAAAGGCCTATTGCCAGTTAGATTACAGTTTAAAAATAGCAAACTAAAGGAATTTCAGGGCGGGCATGGTGGCTCATGCCTATAATCCCAGCACTTTGGGAGGCCAAGGCAGGTAGATCATTTGAGGTCAGGATTTCGTGACCAGCCTGGTCAACAGGGTGAAACTCTGTGTCTACTAAAAATACAAAAATTAGCCAGGCATGGCAGCACATGGCTGTAATCCCAGCTGCAAGGGAGACTCAGGAGAATCGCTTGAACCCAGGAAGTGGAGGTTGCAGTGAGCCAAGATTGCACCACTGCACTCCAGTTTGGGCGACAGAGGGAGACTCCATATCAAAAAAAAAAAAAAGAAAAAAGAAATTTCAAACATAAAGGATACAGCAAAGATATGATTCAGACATTCATTATATGAATATGCAATTCAGTAAATATTTTAACAAAACTCACATCAGACCTGAGATTTGTCTGATAAGTGTAATCACAATGAATACACAAGACTCTCTTCATGAAAAAAAGAAAAAGTTTAGGGAGTTGATCTCTAATCTCTGACAGCACATTATCAGGAGTTATTGACCACTGAAAATAAACTTTAGTGCTATTCTTAAGCACAAATTATTAGGTGAATAAACCAGAGGATAAGAAAGTTTAGGCCAAGTGCGGTGGTTCACATCTGTAATCCCAGCACTTTGGGAGGCCGAGGTGGGCAGATCACTTGAGCCTAGCAGTTGGAGACCAGCCTGGCCAAAATAGCAAAACTCGATCTCTAATAAAAATACAAAAAAAAAAGGCTGGGCGTGGTGGTCTACTCCTGTAATCCCAGCACTTTGGGAGTCCAAGGCAGGAGGATCACAAGGTCAGGAGATCAAGACCAGCCTGGTCAACATGGCGAAACCCCATCTCTACTAAAAATACAAAAGATTAGCTGGGCGTGGTGGCAGGCACCTGTAATCCCAGCTACTTGGGAGACTGAACGAGGAGAATCGCTTGAATCCAGGAGGCGGAGGTTGCAGTGAGCCAAGATCCTACAATTGCACTCCAGCCTGGGTGACAAGAGCAAGACTCTGTCTCAAAAAAAAAAACAAAAAAAAAACCAAAAATATTAGCCAGGTGTGGTGGTGCACACCTGTAATCCCAGCCACTCAGGAGGCTGAGGCAGGAGAATCGCTTGAATGAGGTTACAGTGAGCAGAGATTGTGCCACTGCACTCCAGCCTGGGCAACAGAGTGAGAAACCCTGTCTCAAAAAAAGATTTTATGTTCTAATTGGTGGTGTTATTAAATTTAATATCCATTTATTTATTTATACTGACAGTTTCAGATGAAGATTGTTTTCACACGAATAGTACATAATAAATGTAGTATTAATAAATGTAGTATTCATGTGAATTTTTTCCTTTATTCATTTGTCCTCTATTCATATGTATTTTTACCTGATGATTACACATATGCATATTTACCAACTGAGGGACCTTGGGCAAAGAACTCAAAGTCAGTAGAACAGGAATTTTGAACTACCGAATCTGTCTGTTTTCAGTTCCACATTCTGTGCCTCTATGGTTTTCTCTATACGTTTAAAAATAGATTCTAGACTGTGAAATGGAAATTACTTACAGTACTTAGCCCCATCCAGTGCTGCCACTGCTTTTTCAAGGCAATTCCTAGTGGGATTTCCAGAACGGCTGTATTCAAAACCCTGAAGAAAACAAGTTTGAGTAATTCCTAAGAGATTTAAGTTTATTATCACAGTCCTAACATAGACAACTACAGTTTCACCCTACCATATGAGTTTCTATTCTTTAGTCATGATATGTCTTGCTTTAATACAGAAGCAGAAGAGTGCTGTGGCTATAGTCAAGAGGCTCTGAAGTCAAACAAACTCTATATGAATTCTGTATCTGCCACTTATGAGGTGCACGACACTAGGTAAGTTATTTCACATTTCTAAAAGTCAATCTCAGTATCTGTAAAATGGGAATGAAATATAGATGTCTAATTCATAAAATCATTGTGAAAATAAAATGAGATAATGCACAAATTCACTACATGTTTCCTGGCACATGCTAATGACTAAATAAATGGCAGTTTTTATTATTAGTATTTTTATTATATTAGACTCACCTTTTTTCATTAATCTGGAAACATTAGGAAAAGGGACTTGCATAAGCCAACAGAATAAACCTAATTCTAACCTGTGTTTCATTTCCTAAGAAATAAGTGATTAAGTGATACAAGTTTCTTTTGTTTTAAGGATAGGACCTCCCTCTATTGCCCAGGCTAGAGTACAGTGGGGCAATCACAGCTCACTGCAGCCTCAAACTCCTGGGCTAAACAATCCTCCCATCTCAGCCTCCTGAGTAGCTAGGACTACAGGTGCACATCGCCATGCCTAACTAATATTTTAATTTTATTTTTTGTAGAGGCAGTCTAGCTATGTTGCCCAGGCTGGTCTTGAACTTCTGAACTCAAGCAATCCTCCCACATTGGCCTCCCAAAGTGCTGAGATGATAGGTGTGAGCCACCTGTCAGGCTGATTCAAGTTCTATTAGGCATACAACAGGAAGTTATGATCAGATCCTACAAATACTCAGCATTCATTCACATCTTGGCTCTGTAAAAGCGGCTCAAAACATAGGGAGCAATTCCTGGCAAAACAACTCCACACAATACTTTTTAGAAATGTGCATTCCTGTAATCCCAGCTACTCGGGAGGCTGAGGCAGGAGAATTGCTTGAGCCCAGGAGGTGGAGGTTGCATTGAGCCGAGATCGTGCCACTGCACTCCAGCCTGGCCGACAGAGTCTGTCTCAAAAAAAAAAAAAAATTGCATTATTCTGCTCTTACATATACGGCACCCTGCTAGCTATATTCATCCAGTCATTCTATTAATCCTTATGACTGAGAAAGTGAAGCCAAATGTAGTAGTACCTAGAGAGTGTCAAAACCAGATTGCAAACCAAGGATTTCAACATTAATTAGAAGTCCTATAATTTTCTCCCTCAGCTTCACATCACACATAACAAAACACAACACTCTTTCACCTTTGTTGCTGATTCAGAAGCTCCCAGTATTAATAATAATAACTTTTAAATGTTTTGTTGCTATGTGCCCTTGTTTATGACAAGTTGAGCAGACTTTTTTTTTTTTATGAGTGGGAGTCTTGCTCTGTTTCCAGGCTGGAGTGCAGTGGTGCAAACTCCACCTCCTGGGTTCAAGCCATTCTCCTGCCTCAGCCTTCCGAGTAGGGACTACAGGCATGCCACCACACCCAGCTAATTTTTGTATTTTTTTAGTAGAGATAGGGTTTCACCACATTAGGGAGGATGGTTTTGATCTCCTGACCTCATGATCCGCCTGCCTCAGCCTCCCAAAGTGGTAGGATTACAGGCATAAGCCACCACGCCCAGCCTGAGCAGATACATTTTACAGGGTTCTAGAATATCCTTACCACTCCCCACCATCACCTTCTTACCATGACCTGCAGCTGCACCCAGCAGATTAAAAAAAAAAAAAATGCTTGGATTCATGTGGCGTCTGCCACAGAAAAGTACCTTACATTTCTCATTCAACTCTTCAAATTCCCTTTAGTGGTCTTAGCTAATTTTTAAAAAGGGCCGGGCGCAGGGGCTCATGCCTGTAATCCCAGCACTTTCAGAGGTGGATCACCTAAGGTCAGGAGTTCGAGACCAGTCTGATGGTGAAACCCTGTCTCTATTAAAAATAAATAAATTAGCTGGGCATGGTGGCGGGTAGCTGTAATCTCAGTTACTCGGGAAGCTGAGGTAGGAGAATTGCTTGAACCCAGGAGGCGGAGGATGCAGTGAGCCAAGATGGCACCACTGCACTCCAGCCTGGGCAACAGAGCAAGACTCTGTCTCAAAAAACAAAAACAAAAACAAGATACTAAGCAGAGTTTTTGTGGATTTAACCATCCCTGCTGGCTTCCTGGAAACATTTAATTACTAATATTACACCCGAATGGTTAACTTTTGCACTGAGTTTCAAAGCTTGAGCAGCTACACATTCATTAAACCCTACACGAGAAACGAAGTGCATGTTTGAAAGAGAGGCTGTGAGCTGGACGCGGTGACTCACACCTGTAATCCCAGCACATTGGGAGCCCAAGGCGGGTGGGTTACGAGATCCGGAGTTCAAGACCAGCCTGGCCAACATGGTGAAACCCCGTCTCTACTAAAAAAAAAATACAAAAATGAATCAGGCGCAGTGGCAGGTGCCTGTAATTCCAGCTACTTGGGAGGCTGAGGCCAGAGAATCGCTTGAACCCGGGAGGTGGAGGTTGCAGTGAGCCACGATCGTACCACTGCACTCCAGCCTGGGCGACAGAGTGAGACTCTGTCTGAAAAAAAAAAAAAAGGATTAAAGAGAGGTTGTGTACATCTTTTGATTCTAAAATACAGTAAAGAGTATTCTAAACCAGTTGTAGAAATGGCCTTAGAACTCTATCTCACAAAACAAAGGACCGTCTATAAGGATTTTCCTCAACTTATATAACACACTGAAGTGGTTTCCAAAGCATAATCAAGGCCTTGGACTTACAGACTTTAACTAATTCTTACAAATCTTGTAACTTTTAAATTCCCAAGACCCATCAAATATGCCACCAAAAGGGGAAAAAAAGCTATGTGATTAGCAAAGAGGGCTCTTTCATAGGCTTTACAGATCATTCATGTATGACTCTGGGTCAGTTCCTTTTCTATAAAAAGTACATAATACCTGTCCTGCCCTCTGACTTGGTTGTTGTGAGGATCAAATGGAAATAGTGTAAATATGAACATCATGAAAAAACAAATTACCATCGAGTAATTATTATGTACCATACAGCCTTAAATACATCTCAACAACTTATGCGGTAGGTACTATTGTTATCCAAATTTATACAGGATCAATCAGAGGCTTTAATAGGTTAAATAACTTGCCCAAGATACCCCGGCTCAGAAGAAGTGGTGTCAGAATACAAAACTAGCTTTTGACTATAAGACTTATGTTCTCTTTTTGTTGTTTGAGTTGGAGTTTCGCTCTTGTCGCCCAGGCTGGAGTATAATGATGAGATCTTGGCTCACTGCAAGCTCTGCCTCCTGGGTTCAAGCGATCCGCCTGCCTCAGCTTCCCGCCACCATGCCCAACTAATTTATTTATTTTTGGTAGAGACGAGGTTTCACCATGTTGACCAGGCTGGTCTCAAACTTCTAACCTCAGGTGATCCACCCACCTCAGGTGATCCACCCACCTCAGCCTCCCAAAGTGCTGGGATTACAGGTGTAAGCCACTGCACCCAGTCATGACTAGTGTTCTTAATCACTACGCCACAATGCTTAAATGATGCAATAGGCTAAATTGTTACTAGCATTATTAGAGATAGCATAGTGTAGCTGAGTGCCTAAGAGTTGGTTCCTAAAGCAACCTCAAGTTTCTAAAGTTTGAATCCCAGCTCCAATACTTACTGGTCTAAGGCTACTTAACTCCCTAAATCTCAGCTGTTTTATTGAGAAAAAATGAGGATTCGGTTCAGACTAGGGTTGTTGTTAGGATTAGATGAGACAATACGTGTAGTACACATGCTATATACAAGTATGTATTTGGCACATAGTAGATACTCAATAACTATTAATACAGCTACTGGGAACAATCTTAATTCTCGTCAAGTTATCAGACCCTTAATATTTTTTAAGCTGACTCCGAACTACATCTTTAAAATTTATGCTGCTAAAGGTAACTCAAAAAAGTTAGGACCTTCGGTTTTTAATTGCAAATTTGTCAAAATCACGTGAATTTCAGGCCAAATCTATATGGCAAATTGGACAAACGGCTTCTTCCATTCCTGCTTATCAAAAGAAACACGGTCACTGGACCATCCGATAGAAAGCTATACTGCAAGAATTACAGCGTAGAAACATCTTTCGGTTGCCTTCCTAATTTATAAGTAATATTATAAATTACTTACATGCCTTTCAAATTCATAAGCCATCTTTCTTTTCCCGCCCAACTGTGGACAGCCCCAGACAGACTCAGCTCACCGAGTGCTGGCCGGGCGCCGCTTGCTTGAACGTGGTGGACAGTGAGATGAGGGGCACCACAGCCCTGGAGGTCCATTGCTCTGGTTCCTGGCCCACATGGATGGCCTGCGTGGCGAAATGCTGGAAGTGAGGCAGGAAACCTTGTGAGGAGGCGTCTTTTTCCTGCATGCTGAACCGCGAAAGGAGAGAGGAAAAGAACCGGGAAGCCGGGTGTCCGGGGTAGGGAGAGACAGAAGGATCGGCCAAGAAGGAGCTAAAGCACGCAGGAAGAGGCGACAGCGAAGCACTAAAGCGGGACACGGCGATTGTGGGGTGGATTTTATTAGCCGGCCGGCAGATAAAATCTCACGACCACAGCGGGGCGGGACCCGCGCGGCCCATTAAGCAAAAGCCCGACGCGTCTCCCGCTCCTTATTGGCTGACAGCAGAGGCGTTGCCTGAAACGTCACCGCGACCGCCCCTCCCAGTGCAGAAAGTGGAGGGAAGCTGGAGTCCCTGGGTCCAAGTGGTGTTGGTCCCTGCGGGCGAAATTCCTGAGTACCAGTCCTGAGGAGGCTGCCATGCTGGCTCCTGAGAGCCACCCGGGCGTCTGTGTGACCTCAGGCAGGAGGTTCGCCCGAGACGTGGCAGAAACCTGGCTTAGTGTTGAAACCTGGTAACTGTAAATAGACCACATAAATAGCCCCCTCTTATTGCGGCACTTGCCTCTGACCACCACCCTTTGCCCTGAGGGCGGTGCTAAAAGACGTAAGCCACAACGTGGAGATTGGTTAAGAAAACAATTGCCTAAGCCGCCCAGTTTGCAGTTTGGATTCTCATCAGTCACAGTCAGCTTGCGTTTTAGGTACACTGAACTCTGTAATGACCCAGTGCTTACGATGACTGAAACGATGACTAGAAGTGAAGGTTAAATGGTTCTTAAGACATAACGAAGCTACTGTAGTGAGGAACTCTGGCAGCTTCCTAAAATTTAGTCAATCTTGAGCTTCTTCAAGCATCATTATCTTCTTTTCAAGTACAAGCAGAAACTCCCCCTAATGAGAAAGATAATGTGGCTTTGAAAAACTTACTGGAGTCTAACATCCTTACACAAAATGCTTTTGCTTTTCACAACTGACAGCAACATCCCTGCAGGAAAAAGGAATGTTTACCGCTCACCTGCACCCAGAGTCCTATTCTCAGAAGAATCACTCCTTTAAAATAAACAAAAATCTCCTTGTTCCCTAAACAATACAGACTTGACCTACTTACTATCGTGGCTGTTTTCTAGCACCAGGAAATTTGGGGATATTTCTGTTCTTGCAAAATATTCGCTAAAGATCTAAAACTTTATTAAACAAATTAAGAACAAGGAGAATAAGGAATAAACAGCTCTTAAAATGTACAGTTTGAAAGAAAGATGTGAAGAGAAAGAATGAGGCAATTTGCTTTTCAAATTAGATTCAGGGACACTTAACCCATTCAGAACTAGAGGAGTGGTGCTTGAGGGCCTACAAGCTTTTAGAAGCCTACCAAACTTGTACGGCTGGGGAAAAAAAATTGATAGACTTCAAAACACTAAGGGTGTATATTAATATATATTTAATTAATATTTTTCTTTTAAAAATATAACATCAACTGCAACTCACTTCCATATTTATATACAACTATAGATGGGTATTTTTGTGTGATATGGTATGGCATTTAGGGGCCAAAAGGTCTAAAACAGTTCCATTTACTTTTACCTCCTAATATTTGCTGACAAACCCTGAGTTGCATAAATGCAGACATTTTATTTAGTGTACTGTAATGAAGAATTATTCAGAAGATAGCACCAGGCCAGGAGCGTTCGCTAATGCCTGTAATCCCAGCACTTTGGGAGGCTGAGGTGGGCGGATCACCCGAGGTCAAGAGTTCGAGACCAGCCTGGCCAACATGGTGAAACCCTGTCTCTACTAAAAATATAAAAATTAGCTGGGCATGGTGGTGCACACCTGTAATCCCAGCTCCTGGGGAACCTGAGACAGGAGAATCGCTTGAACCTGGGAGAGAGAGGTTGCAGTCAGCCAAGATCACACCACTGCACTCCAGCCTGGGCCACAGAACAAGACTCCATCTCAAAAAAAAAGCACCCAATACAAATGCTGTAAATCAGGCCTGTTTTACTCTCATAAACCGAGAAAACTTTATCGGATGGCAGCTTAGTATGTATCAAGGATTTAAAATATCCCCTATCTATGACTCGACAATTTCTTTTGTAGAAAATTTTACTTGCAGGAATTTATCCTTTAGATATATTGTTAGCATGTGTACAGAGATGAGCAAGGATGCTTTTTAACCCTACCTTACTATTTTTAATAGCCAAAGAGTGAAAACTAGCTTAATTATTCATTCTTAAAAGACTGTTTAACTAGTTATGATACTACTCTGTAATGGCTACAGTATGGTCAAGAAGTAGGAAGAGATTAAGATGTGCTGGTATATCAGAGTCTCGCTCTGTCACCCAGGCTGGAGTGCAGTGGTGCCATCTCAGATCACTGCAACCTCCACCTCCGGGTTTCAAGACATTCTTCTGCCTCACCCTTCCGAGTAGCTGGGACCACAGATGCGGCCACCATGCCCGGCTAATTTTTGTATTTTTAGTAAAGATGGGGTTTCACTATGTTGTCCAGGCTGGTCTCGGACTCCTTTCCTCAAGTCAGCCACCAGCCTTGGCCTCCCCAAGTGCTGGTATTACAGGCATGAGCCACCATGCCTGGCCTATTGATCTCTAATTTCTAAGACAGGAAAGCAAAGTAATGTATACATTATGCTTCCACTTTTTCGAAAGAACATATGCTATGTTGCATTATTTTTAGACAGATATTTATGATTAATATGTAAAAAAATCCTTCTGGTCATAGAGACTATGGATCTGCAGTGGAAAGGTGATTTTCTTTACATTTTGTTCTCTTTTGTGTTCAAGTTTTACATTATAGGTACGTATTACCTTTTCAACAATAATGATACTATCAAAAACCCTAATGTAAGCATTTTAGAAAGACAAGTTTATTTAGAAAATAAGCTTTTTAAATGATTAAATGATAGCCACTTTAAATCCAATAAATGGTATATAGTTTGGGGTGTGTGCTAATTTTTCATACAGATTAGGTTGCACACAACAAAATAACATTATCATAACACTTACTGAAGAATTATTAATTCTTCTTGGGAAGGAGATTCAGCAAAAGCAGATATTTTAGAGGAAATGGGAGACTTCTCATTTTTTTTATTTCTTTACTGTTTGATCCTTTTATAAAACACAGAGTGCATTATTTTATAATAAGTACTTCTTAAACACTATGAAAATAGCAATGTACTTCTTGTGTATATGCACGAAGACCTCTACTATTCTCATTAAAGGCAGGCTATGAATAAAGATACCGTGACTGAATATCAAAACAGTACAATCGGAACTTGGGAGGGATGTTCATATAATATATTATCATTATTATTATCAAGCATAAACATGTGCAATTATTAGATCTATTTTGTTTTACCTCAGAGGAAAACAATGTGTTCATCCTTGGACTTTTGTCAATGAAATAATGAGAATTATGAAGGGAATTTGGGGATCGGGGAAAACAGATATTACAATATAAGATCTAAATTTGGTAGACTTGTAGATTACTACAATGGGCCAAAGCCTGTCAGATAGCCCTTTTTTTGGGGGGAGGGGGACAAAGTTTCAGTCTCCCCCAGGCTGGAATGCAGTGGCGCCATTTCAGCTCTCACTGAAACCTTTGCCTCCTGGGTTCAAGTGATCCTCCCACCTCAGCCCCCCAAGTAGCTGAGACTACAGGCACGCACCATCATGCCAGGCTAATCTTTGTGGCCTTTTTTTTTTTTTTTTTTGTAGAGATGAAATTTTGCCATGTTGCCCAGGCTGGTCTCGAACTCCTTAGCTCAAGAGATCTACCTGCTTTGGCCTCCCAAAGTGCTAGGACTACAGGCATGAGCCACTGCACCAAACCAGATAGCACTTTTGACACCTACCTTCACTTACTGGTGTAAATGATTTTTTAAAATAGTAACAAAAAGATATTTTGCAATCATATCAATCATGTTTTCATATGGCATAATTGAAAATTGTATGTCTTGAGAACAAAACGGTCTGGATATTGTTGATGGAATTATTAATGTTAATATCAAGAGACACTGGAGAGCAAATTTCCAGCACAACTGCTTTCTTTTAGTGATAGGTACAAAGAAGATAAGCGACATACTCATACTAATATAGCAAGTACCTCGGCTGAGAATTGAGTACAGTTTCAGATATTTAAGATGAAGAAGTAATCCCAAAATCATTTGGATGCATTCCACAATGATGTAAAAGGAGTCAAATATGACTGAAAAACAACTCAGACATAAGCAGTTAAGTACTTGAAGTTTGGAATCAGAATGCTTGGGTTTGAAGCTCACCTCTAGAACTTACTGTCTCTGTGACCTTGAGGGAGCAATTGACTTAATCTTTGTAAGTCTTGCTTTCTTCCATAAAATGGGTAAAATAATACTTGGCAGTGCTCAAAAATAGATTCTTAAAAGCTTCTGGCAGGCCAGGAAAAGGGTATAAGGCAAGTAGAATAACTGGGAAGCACTGAGGTCAGAGAGCTACTTTTGATATTTGTCTATCAAAACTGATATTTGCAGTACCTTCGAAGAGGAATACCATGCAGAGGTCATGTGGTCCAATACAGAAAGTAAGCAATATCTTTTGTAATGTTCATAACTGGTAGAGAGATTTTAAAAAGAAAAAAAAAAGATAGGTAATTTGCACTATCCAGACATGCAGATATCTTGTTCAACTAGTAATGCAGCAATTGAAAAGCTCTTGACTTTTCTTGCTTATAACTTTATATCAGAGACAAAACATTTTAGGGGGAGCAATTCTCCATGTTGCGGGACTGTTTGGCTAATTGCAGGGCATTTAACTTCCCTGGTGGCTAGTTGCACAACCCCACATATTTCTGATCACAAAACAACAACTCCAGTTGAGAACAATGATAAAGGAACTAATGGAGTTGCTCTGAATTTAAGCTTACCAACAAAAAGAATGGATTGACAATGAAGACATGTAGAGAAATCTGGAAGAAAATGAACTTACACTGAAGATTGTGGTGTCTAGGAAAAAGAAAACCGGCCATATGAGACATATTTAATAGACCAAACCACCCCAAAGTGTGTCCCTAGAAAAGTTTGTAATGAACAAACGGCTCTGTGGCCAGAAATGCTAGTGAAACACTACCTGCAGGCATACCTTGGCGGTATTGCTATTCAGTTCTAGTAGAGATATTTGTAACCAATGCCTGTTCTGTTTGAAATGTGCTTTGAGTAAAA